GAATGCGCCGACGCCTATAAGTCGCGGTACCACTCGCGACGCGTCTTTCACCAACTCCTCCAAACTCCTCCACCAACCCCGCTCCGTGAAGCACTCTTCATCCCTCTCTGTCGCCTTAGTTTGGTGTCCTGGGCAAACATGACCAAAAAATCGAAGGAACGGCTATTCGACGGTCAAGTCCCTCCAGTGGCGGGTCCGGATCCATACGCATCCGTGCCCCAGTCAATCCCGCCCGCCAATAACATCGACGACGCGTCAATTCAACCTGCGAGGCAGTCTTGATCTGCAAAGGACCAGGCTGGGCATGCTCGTCTCGTCCACCATAGCGTGGTTAACCGGGCGACAACCGAGGGCACTCCAGTCACGCAGAGGATATTGTTCCAACAGGTACGGCATATCCACGATGCACCACGCGCATCTGAGACACAGCCTGGGTCGAGCAGCAATGGAACCAGGCGTGATAGACGCCTCCAACACAGACAGGTGGTCGACGGAAGGAGTGGAGTATGCCACCGCCACTATCTTCTTATGCGTGTCATAACTGACTGCCCGCCAACAGACGCCCAAGAGATTCCGCAATGACACGATGTCTCGCGAGACAACCACGAACGAGGGGGAAGATCCAGCAAGAGATTTCAACTTTAGAGGAAATTTAGACAGATCGCGTAGGATGGCGGAGGCAAATCGGGTATGCCACGTGCCACATTTCTCCTCCACCATAACATTCCTGACGCTATCGACAGCAACGGTACAGCATCTACAGCGGACTTATGAGCGGTGCGCAGGTCCCAGCGGGCTACATCGGACACCTTGCGGGCATCAGCCTTATCCCGACCGTAGACGCCCCCACGCGCCTGCATCCAAGCTCTAGATTGAATATACATCTTGAAGACGGAGCAGTCGGAGTCATCGATGGTTTTCCTCAGAGAGGAAGGGGCGAGCCGCCTGAGTCAGCTCTAGCTGTAGCATACAACGTTCCAGGATTCCTCAGCGTGCGAGAGATGAGAGAAGCAATGCGACGGGCCGCGTACCAAGGCGATTCAGACGATAGCGAGAGTGAAGAAGCAAGTGAAGTAGCGACTGCTGGAGAGACAAAGGACTTCTCCTATACCTCGCGTCCTAGCGTTGCACCCAGGAAGCTTCAGGCCACACGAGCCCCAACGTCTGCGGACCGCCCGGTTGTTGCTGGTGGTGCAGGTGTTGCAGCCGGTCGTACCGGACATAGGGCCGCGAGAACGAGTATCGACTTGGGCATCAACGAGGGTCTCGGCAACGAGGGGCGCTCCAGAAGGGTCACTCCGTTGGTTTGGGGTGAGATCCCTGCTCCTACGCGAACGAGGGACCATCCCGAAGGCGTGCCAACACCTGCTGGTCCGGTGCCAGGCGGGAGACAAGAACCAGGAGGCGCGGTGGGCAATGCAAAGGCAGAGGGATCCTCCCGTATTCCTCACCCAATGGTTACCCCGAGACCCTATGCTAGCGGCACTCCCAACCTTACTCTTCCGGACCGCCCGCCTGCGGCGGTAACTGTCAATGTTGCAGCCCAGTGGGGAAGAGGCCAGCCTACAGACATAAGCGCTGTCATGCAGGTGCGGGGCAGCCACCTATCCAAGCTCGAGCGAGAAGGTGCTAGGACAGCGGAGATGAGGTTCAGCCGAGCTACCGGTGATTGCGGGCAGATCATCAGAAGGGATCAGGAGGGCCTGGAGAAGCATCCTCAGAATGGCTCACAGAACTTCGGAGATCGCAACTTTAGCAGTCACACCGTCAGGAAGAGAGACAGGGAGGAGAATTACGAGGGGCCACGCAACCCTGGTCACGGCTTCAACGACAAGCCTCTGGCTCCAGAGCTGCAAACACAGCCAGAAAAGAGACGTCGGTTTAACAAAGCGGGAACAAGCCCAGATGTGCCTGCCCCACCCGTAGCAAGCAATAAAGAAGACGAGAAAGCGACCAATACAGAGTCGAATGTTGTGAGTATACTCAAATGACTGAACCTGCATATAAATCACTGACATTTGGTTAATAGACGCCTTCCAACGAAAGACACTCAATAACCAACCTTGGCGTCAACGCCAACCCTTTCGGGGGATCCGCGGCAGCTTTAGGCACGACCGCGAATAACGCAAGCACGATCGAGTTTGCGCAGTCAGAGCAACTTCCGTTCGATCTAATAGCGGACTATCCCTTCCAGACCATCCCTTGGCCTGACATTTATCGGCCATGGGGTGAATGGCCTCCAAGAGAGACATCGGTGTCATCCCACTTCACTTTTGAGTTTGACTACGACAACTGCGCCAGATTAGAACCCGCCTGGGATTCCGATGACGCGTAACAGCATCTGCGTGTAGACATGTATGTCCGCCGTCCTCTATGCTTTAGCTTCCATCATTCCTTCATAACGGCTGCAGATGGAATCTAGTGCATTTCGGAGGGAGCAAACACTTTTACGCCGTACCGATGCTGGTAGAGGATGGAGAATCGACCGAATTCTGTGTTTTCTCTGAGATTGGTCGCACTGTGATGTACCATTCCATTCATATCGACAACAATCTCCAACCCCATAAATATAGTGTCAAGATCTTCTTTCACATAAGAGTAGTTCCAGAATGTCCCTGTTACTTATCGGAGAGGTTACAGCGACGTCGACCCATGAGTCCATCTTATCCATCGCCTCCCGCTTCGTCCGAGACCTGCGACCGCATCGGTAACTTCATTGTCCATTTGAACACGACTGAGTGAGACATCAAACAAAGAGCTGACCCAGAGACCTCAGAGGGAGCAGGAGGAAAACAGCCTGCGTCACACTCCGACGCGTCGATAACGCTCGCGAGTGTGGCTTCGCACGTTCCGCTTGTTTCCGGCGGACGTCAATTGGCCTACAATTGTCCTTGGTCTGCAATTCTGACGTACGCCTCTGTGGCCCTGCCTCAAGCGCGTCCTTGAGCTCATATATCAGCGCTCATTATCCCCGGTGGTGCTCTGCCTGACTCAGAATCGTCTAGCGTACATCAGCCTGAGGCCCGTCTCAAAGGAAAATATCAAATATCCAGTTTGCAATCACGCTCGCAGCGGGAATTGATACATAAAGACAGCACGTACATCATAACCATTGCAAGAGGCGAACATAGGAAGTATGAACTGTATGGATTAGACTATGGAAACACTCGGGATCAGTGCGCCTTGAAGTTCGTCGCTCATTCAGTGCAACTGCAAGCCTCTGGCGGTTCGTGCTTCGTGATAGCGTATTGCACATCAACACGGGGCAACGCAACATGCAGGCAATAGTGCTAGAACAGATCAAATCAGCCTTAGTTGGCAACCGTGAAGTACTTACTACATTGCCAGTGGAACGGGGATATTGGGCTAATGGCTTGAACCCGCATCGATGAAATATGGGCTAGTCCCACCCCAGGCTCACGTCCAGTCGAACTGATATACCTCTTAGAATCTGAAGTTAGTGTGAATTAACATTCTGCAGTTCAAGTTAACGCTACCATGGCTCACGATGCAGTCAGTTGCGAACCCCATGCTCAGTGCGTACCGCGCGTGGCTCGAGAGACGTCAGAGTATAAGCAGCTCGGGTGTTGCTGTGAATATACCTTAGCATTCGTTATCCCTATGAAATCGTAGTATGCCGCGCCAACCGGGCCATGTCTTGTTGCGGTTGTCGGCCATCATCAGGCGCTATTGGTCTCGATCCTTCGGTACCCAGTTGACGTCTGTTTCAAGCCATCACCACTGCGGCATACAGGGGATCAACAATGGAGGATTGTGTCACTGCTTTGACACCAGTGGCATGCTAGAGACGTATGGCGCAACGGGGAATTCGGACGATTCGCGTGGGGATCGCATAGCTTCGATATGTATACTCTCTTCGTCATCAGGCGACACTGCAGACGCGAGAAAGTGATTCGAAAGCAAATGGTACAGCAGGGAGAAGGCACAATCATAGGGAGGATAAAAGTATAAGTCAAACTTCCCAGGCCCTAGACACCCCGCGCCACACGAACCACACCGACACCCCCAAATCCAGCATTCAGGTTCACCGCCCCCTCCTCGAGGCAGCGGCTTGGCGCCCTAGAATCCAGGGCAGTGAGTCAAAGCTAGATGGCACAAAGGATGGCCTGAGAAATACCGTTGGGGAAAGGGTGATGCGTAGCCATCCAGCATCAAAGAGAGGTCAAGAGAAGCTGCATTTGCGGCAACCATCGGACCGATGCGATCCTTGATCAGTGATAAGAGAGAGAACGACGTCTGGCAGAGTCTCTCGCCTTGCCCTCTTCACCTCGCCGACCTCAACGCCTGCCTATACTCTCACATCGTTCACGATCGTCATGTCCACCACGATAGCGTTCGCCTTTGGCGAACAGACCAGAATAAATCCGATACAGCTAGGCAACTATGCCACTAAGCACGTTATCGATCAACTCAAAGTCGTCGAAGCAACGGTGGCGCATGGACTTACCGCGGACTCGACCACGACGGCAGCAGACACCAGTGTGACGGTGAGCAGGACCTTCTTGACCGCGAGTTTCGACGTGTGGATATCTAACTTCAGTTGTTAGACGAGTTCGTCACAGCGACTAACTCCTGACCTGAATGAATGTCATGCCCCCGTGCCACCTGTCGTGTCCGACAATTCTACCGGCATACGCGACACCTCCACTGCGCTGACGCAGCCCGAACGCCAGGGACAAGAGCAAGCCTTCTGCCCATTCAAACCTAACTTGCCACCTCGTCTGAGGAAAGCAAGACCAGGGCGGCGCGAGCGCGCCCTTCTGCGCCTCCAACGGCAGGCGGGTATTTCCCATGACCCCACTACCTGCCAGCAAGGCCAGAGTGCTGTCCCGACGCCAGGAGATGGCACTATCAACGCACCAATGGAGGCGATCAATGCCGTCCCGGCTCGGATACCGGAAGAACCACCCACTCCCGACGACCTGCCTCCTCGCCGGAGGGCGAAGCCGGGTCGGCGAGAGCGAGCCCTTCGACGTCTGCAACGACAGGGAGGGGTGTTGGAGGATCACGCGGCCTCGCAGCAAGTCGAAGCCCCCGGCCCGAAACCGGGCCCTGATGCTACTCTGCCGCCGCCGCAGACGACTACGGTGGATGCGTCATCACCGGTGATGGAACAGGGTCTGGAGGGGAGAGTGTGTGTTCAAACGTCGCACGACGAGCAACCAGCCGAGCTCGTGAGCGCTCAGGGTCGAGCGAACGACATCCAGAATTCCGCCGCCTCGCAGCACGACGATCCATCCGTTTCCCCGCCACCGTACGACCCGATCGCTCTGGGACTGGAAGCGGCACAGTTCATCCTGCAACAGCATGGACCGACCCAGTACCTGGCCGCGGCGGTGGCACACGATCAGCCACAGTATCCAGTTGCAGCAGAGCAACAACAGCTTGTGAATTGGGCGATCGAGAGGCAACGCGCCGCGTCAGGAGAGGGCGGGTCCATGGCGGTCCGTCTCGAGTACGCTGAGGGAGGCTCATTTTCGCGAATGGCCATCCTCACGGACTGGGCCCCGCACTACTGGCAGCCAAGGCCATTCACGCCTAGCTTGCCTCCCAACGCTGTCAGCCAGGAGGCCGTAACCATACCCCTTCGCGTCTTACAAAACAGTGGATATGGCGACGGTGAGCCCGAGGCGCCGTGCGCTTACTCCAGCCCGTGGCCCGTCCCTACGGGTCGTCAAGCGCCGGAAAGGATGGTTTCAGTACCATACGAAGCGCCAGCGAGCACTGCGCTGCCGCAAGGAGGTTTTCCTCCCGAGCGAGCTGAGACTCCGGATGTCCCCGACCTAACACGATTCCCCGCGGCGCCCGAGCCATCCAATCTTCCTCTTACCCAAGCTATATATCCCTTTGTCGACTGTCCAGGGCCCTGTCCTGCGGACTGCCCCAGGCGATTGATGTTGGCGCGCGCGTACTCTCGCCGTCCCCATGCCCGCTATGGCATGTCACGCCTTCCCTGTCCAATTCGATTCGATCCTTTTGATGAGGACCTGGATAGCGAAGGGAGGGAGCCGCCCTTTCAGTTGGCAGGACTGGATTCTCCAACGTCACCGATTTCTCCAGCAACAGCGACGACCGCATCAGTGTCGACGCCGCGGGGAGCCGCCTTCAATGCCGGCATCAGTCCCTGTTCGTCATGCAAGGGGCTTACGCTAACTGGCGAGGAAGTCATATACTCCACATGTTGCGGAATCAGGCCGCCCGCTGCACACGCTGGTGACAGCGAGGCCGAAGTGACGCTAGGCATCCCAGTCCGGCGCGAGAGAAGGCAAGCTCCGCTCGCTGACGGAGAGCACCCGTCGACGCCCTGGTGGTATCGCGACCAGCGGGAAGCCCATCGGTATCTGGAGCTGCTTGAATACCTCGAGCATCGTGCCATACTGCGCATAAAGGCTAAGCTGGATAACCTCGAGGAGAGCGACCGTCCCCCGTTGATGCCGCTCTGGATTCATTTCCCCCAGCTCCTTCCCCCGGTCTTCGACGCGCCGCCCGAGAATATGCTGCAGCTCCAGCTCAGCGGCAACTGAGACTGAGTGCGGAGACACGGAAGCCAGGGCCGACACGGAGTCAAAGATATGAGTGCTGAATAGATAAACGATGAGGGATGCGAGTTTGTGTTTTCTCGGAGGGTCTCAAGTTGTCTCAGAAGATTATTGTATGAATAGCGTTGATGTAAAGTCAAGATGCGCGCATAGTCTTTAGTAAAGCTTTTGACATTTCTCGCTCCTCTGCGCGCCCAAGGGCACCAGCAATAATTGACTTCCGCATATTCGGCGCCAATTCCAAAGTCCAAGGTGTCAATAGACGCCCAAAGAAACACGAGGCGGCGAAGACCGAAAGCAACATGAACCAGGAAAGTTCAAGTTCGCGCCACCGACCTTGTTGAATCGCTCTCGACCACTCCCATCGGCTCCTTCACCGTGTAAAGGCTGGAATCTGCACCTAAGGGCGTCGGCTAGTAATGTTGGAGCGGCGGGACGAGCCTTCTGGCAACCAGGGTCCTCCAAATAGTGACCTGGGTGGCTAAGTTGCAATTTCGACGCTGCACTGTACCGGCCAGGGAAACACGATGCATTGGTCCCTGTTAATTTGCAGAGTACCATGAAGTCCAGGTACGCCGCCTAGCTTCCTAGCCACTGTCGAGATGGACTCGAGAACGGGGCAGCTGACCTCGACGTTGGGCCGATTCACGAGTAGGACATCTTCATGTTCCGTAGGGTATCTTCCTCCATCTAGCATTGATCAATCGCTGATTGAAAATCCGTTTATACAGCAGATGCGTGCACGTCGAGTACGTGTTGATGTTCAGGGAACACTTGCGATTTCCGGGACCGCCAGGACAACCAAGCCCAGACATCGTATGTCGTCTTTACAGCTCTAGTCCGCTCACAAACGCCTTCCGGTTGGAATTACACAGAGACAGAAGTGGTGTCAAGGTCAGGTTCAGGAACAGCACCACGGATCTGAAGATCCTTGGGCGAAGTCGGTCCATTGAAGGTAGATGAGGACGATGGCAATAGGCAGATACAGTTAAGGGCGTCAACGATGAGTCCTTCCTACGGTTCCAAGTTCTTTGGCTGAATGTACCATTGGGTAGGATTAGGAAGCTCCAAATTTGCCCTATTGTCACCACCGTATCCTCCATCGTCTGTCTCCACGGAAATGAGGAAACCTTGCTGTCCGTATCCCCAGTCCCGGAAGTTCCGATATCACAGAAAACTTGTCCCTGCCTTTTCCTCCAGGGGGCGTGAACGTTCTAGGACCAGGCTTAGGCCAAGACAGTCATCGATGTCCTTGTGGAATTATCGGGAATTTTTCGCAAACAATTCAGCTCCTCCACTACGCTGAGTTGTGATAGCAAGCTAAAGCCTGTGTCGAGCGAGGTAGCTGCCCATCTATTGAGGTATAGGTTCGACGACTGTGATGCAAGCAAGCATGCGTGAATCCATCGATGGCAAGCAGAGTCATGGTAGCCAACAGCCACGGTGGCGTTGCCCAAATAGAGTTCCGGCATTGCCACGAAAGTGTCCCGCCTCCTCTTGGTCGTCGCCGTCGACGAAGTAATGCGTAGACCTGACTGAGGCGACTCTCGGTTATTCAAAGTTACACTTGGTCGGAATACATCTCGAATGGGCGAATGTCTTATGCGACGATCGCGACACCTGACGCGGGCAGGATGTTGCAGCAATCACGCAGTCATGATTTTCTGAAATCTACTTTTGACCTTAAACCTTGAACATTGAACACGGCTTTGGATTCGATGGGCGTAGGCTGCTAGACTTGTAGATGTGGCCTCTGGTCGACCGCGTAGACGAGCTATGGGCCCTCGTAGCGGAAAGTTCGCAAGGAGGAAATCGTTACCTTGTCGTTACCTTGCCACGTTCGTCCCGATGGTATCTTGCCTGCCAGGTCTTTAACCTACTCCTGGCATGATACTTTCGCCGTGGACACTTTGAAGATACCATTTGTTGTGGGTCTTTAGCGAGCAAAGTCAGTCTGACTCGGGCGTTCAAGACTCTTCACCCGAAACCCATGGCGATGCTAGTAGCCGCATTGTCTGCTCTCGACCGCGGCAAGGACGCCCTTCCTTTATTCTGTCGAGCACGCGGGTATTCTTAATCTGAATACCCTCAGCAGCTTCACTATCGCAACATACGGACTCGTCTAAACGTGCCCGCCCTTTGGACGATGGCTCGCTCATCCGGGTAGTCTGTATGCCTCGAATATTCATTCCTTGACTATACTTCCGGATGACTCGGTCAAGCTCAAGTCAGAGGCCATAGGTTTCCTTCCGACTGCCGGCCGAGTATCTCAACAGTCACTTCGATGCAGCGGACCTGACCTCCAACGACCAGGCCTTCCTGAGTTGACAGGACAGCTGTTGAGTCTGCCCTTCCACTCCGCTATCCCAGGATCGGACCTTTGGTCATTGCGAAGTGGGTGACTATGAAGAACCTCCGGTTAGAACTCAAAACTGGGTTTCGTCGAAGGTATGTCGTCTCCTGTTTTGCCCATATTTTATAGGGATCCTTCCGCTCCAAGAGCCGATGTGCGCTTGTGTATTCTGATCGCTGCTGGTTAAGCGGGCCAGCTCGTGGCAGTAAGTGTGATTCTCCACCGCTCGATATGTTCTTCCTGCGCAGAGGTAAACCTGGAGCCAGATTGACAGGTTTTCGGCGGCGCATTCTGTATGTTTGTACATCTAGGTGTGAGAGAAAGAGTGTGGAGCTCATACAGATTCCGACTTTTCTCTGTTTACACACATGCAATATTTGGAATAAGCCGATGCACCGACTGCACAACGCCTGCTTCAACTTGGAGTTATCGCGAGACGTCACGCGTCATATGACCCCGGTCGCGTGTCCACGGTTCACTCGCGACTACGCGTACAACCTACAGGCCTTTTACTTAGTACTACAACTCTCATTATTCCACCACGTTGTTGTACCTCGAAAGACCCACTGCTCTGAAGATCCTCTCCAAGGGTGTCCGAGACTGCGAGCTCCGAGTCTTTCCCTAGGCAGTGTTATTGGTATACAAGTGGCTACTAGTCACCCGCAATGCCGCGACGAAAGTCTGCTCGCTCTCAATTTACCGCTGAAGAGGAAGGACACGTTTCCCGGATATTCCAGTGGGACTTGGCAGTCAAGCAGCACACTTACTGCCACGCCCAGGCAGGCGTGACGAGTGAAGAAAACGCACAAGCGCACGCTGAGGGTAAACGGCTATTGCAGCAGACAGAGCCCTATAAACTCTGGGCGAACGGGGGGAACCACGTATACCATATGTCAGAGCTCCCGCCAGAGTACTTCGAAGTTGCCGATTTTGCAGCAACAGTACCGGCGACGCCGACTCAGAATCCGGCCGAGTGAGTCGGCCTTTTCTCCACGTTTCTGGGATATACAGATACTGATACAAGTAACAGACGCTGGATGCTTGTCATCGTGCTGTTATATGCCATACAGGCCTACGGGAAAGCTATTGATGACCGTTTTTTGCGTCTCACGCATGAAGCCGGCGACCGCAGGTGCGTTCCAAGTCGAATGCATGGGTGCTTTGATATTAACTGAACGATCAGCCGGGATCTCTTAATCAAGCGGGGGATGTGGGACACCACCCGATTCTTTAACCGCCCTTCGGGAGCCGGTGCGTCGGCTCAACCAACTTCGAAAGTGGGGCCACACCTGCTGCTGCGCCGCGTCCGCCTCACGGACGACCAAACATATGAAGTGGCCGACTACATTCATAGCGCCATGAATGGCGCAAGCTACGTCCTCCACCCTCGCACTGAGGGACGCGACTTGTTACTGGACGAGGCAAGCTTCGAAGAGCAGCTTGTGGAAATCCTGCCTCAAGTCTACTAGTAGAGGGAAAGCCTGCAGTGTTTAACGACATTCCTTCGCCGTTACTGGATGTTCTGGGTTTCACTCTGTAATATAGCTCTGTCCCGCGCTTTCGTGCTACATCCCCGCTCGTATTTCCGCTATGCAACGTCCATAATTTGTCATTGAATTTCCTGGTTCGTAGTAGTGACTGTGTGGCGCCCTGTCCAATGTACATGTTTTTTTTATAAGCCCTTTATCAACGAATGCGTGCTTGCATCTGGAACACTCTAGTCGTGGCTCTCCCACTGGAGTCGAAGAGATTAATCGACCTCACGTCCCCATGTCACGTCCAGCTTTATGGCGGAACTAACCTAAGAGGCGGCTCCAGGCCTACGAATGATTCTCATACGAATATGCTAGTCACTTGTACTTCCTCAGTGTCAGCGAACGTAACAATCCCGAAACAAGTCCGCAGATCCTCGCTCTGGAAGCAAGCAGCAAAGAACACAAGAACACGATGACGACCCCGTAAGGACTCGGAATGCCACTCGTAGGGGAAGGCATACGGCCTCCACTAGCCTGCCAAAAGTTAGGACGAGCATTGCTCGGAGCGTCGGAGGGCACTGCAAATTTTATTCTTCTGGTGGCATCACACTGCACAAAGATAAAGGGCAATACAGACCGTTCACGCCCTCCTCTAGAACGCCTCCGTGCCCACCACCTGCCTCTCCTCGCCGATGAGCACGCGCAAACCCTTGCCTACCCACTGCGGGGCGACGCGCTCCCCCGTCGCGGGGTTCAGGTATCCTGGACGTAACCAAAATGAGGAGTTATCGTGCGTCGAGATCGATTAAAAGCCCTTATGCGTACCTTCTGTTACACCATCCTGGAAGAACACGTAGCCGGGGATGTACCGATCTACGAACCTATATATGCAGACAGTGACAGTGGTCAGGAGAAAGCAAAGAAGGAAGGCAGGGGAGATACTCACGCCTTGACAGCTTCGTCGCTCATCCCCTTCCCGCCATTCTTGGCTTTCATGTTATGCTCCTGCTCTAATCGCCACTTGTAGATGAGAGAGTGCGGGGAGACCGCGCGCGCGGGGCGGGGCGAAAGCTAGGCGATCAACACCTTGGCTATTAAGAATGACAGAAGCAAAATAGAATACGCCAAGCGCACCTGTATAAACACATCGAGCATCTCCCACCACCCCACATACACTCTCAGCCGCTCATTCACATCCGCCACATCCTCCCGCTTCACAAACGCTCTCAAATCCAACGCATCACCCTTGCCCCTCTCTATCCTCTCCGGTGCCTCCTCCCACTTCCTTTCGAGTTCGCCCTGCGTGAGCGGCGCAAACCCGACGAACCAGCCTTCGAGCAGCACCACGTCCAGCGGGGGCCGCACGACTTGCCCGCGCGGCAGGCGGTCCCCCTCGCCGTCGAACAGGCTCTTCTCGAACACGGGCAACTCAACCTCCTCTCCCGCGCGCAGCTTCGCCAGGACCTCCGAGCCTAGCGGGACGTCGTGCGTCCCCGGGAGCCCGCGGCCCTGCAGGAGTCGGTTATCGCTACTCTCCGCTGCGACCCTTTTCAAGCCCGAATGGGGAAGGTAGAGGTCATCGATGGAGAGGACGCAGACAGATAAGGAGTAGGGTGGTGAGGCGAGGAAAGAGCGGAGGTGCGATGTGAGGAAGGTCTTGCCGGAGCCCTGCGGGCCTTGGATGCCTACCAGCAGCGGGGACGAGCGCGGCGAGGGCGGGAGGTGCGCGAGGACGTGCTGGGCCATGAGGGGTACGGCGGGGGGCGGGGACTCGGATCTCGACGCCATAGTGTGTGGTCGTAGGGAGCTCAGCGGCGCACGAGACCGCGAAACAGGGGCCTGAAGACGAATGCGTTGTAAACTGCGAAGAGAAAGTAGAAGCGCGGGGTAAATGGGAAGCCCCAGTTTCGGGCGATGTAGAGGGCGCGGCGGGAGAGGAGAGCCGTGACGCGCTGGATGGTCGAGAGAATCGACATGTCGGCCCGATAATAATGAATCACGGATTCAGATTTTGGGAACTTGCAGGTATTTCCAGGCGGCTTTCAGTAACGACAGCGATATTCCTGTAATTTGGGAGCCTTCGAGCACGACTTGTACTCCAGAACAAACAGATAGACGTACCTCACGTACGCGAGGTTTGACAGACAGACTTTTCGAGCTGGCAGAGACTGGGCGCTTATTAGTCTCCGGTCCTTTCGGGCCGAATCCTGTGTGGCTCCAGCCACCGCACTGTTGATTGTCTGAGTTGCCGTTCACCAATTCCAACGCCCATGAGATTGCAAGAACAATACACAAATGCATGTCTGACTCACATCCAACGTTCAGTATGGCAAAGATGTACCGCACACCGTATCGCAGCAATGCCAATGTGTCCGCGAGGACGACGGGAAGAGGGTTCAGAGGTGAGGGAGAATAAGGGGCAAGCGAGGGAGTCGAGAGCTTTTATTTCTCAAGCCAGCGGAGCTGCAAATAATGTGAAGGGCGTTTGACGCATAGTGTTTGGCCGATCGCAGGGCATATCCTAGTTAGGCAGCGACCTTGCTATATAAGGAAATAATCAGTCCATTGCGTGAACGCCCATGCAACCTCAGGGTGGTTAGAGCACGAAGCTTGAGATTAGGTAAAGAGGCTAGCAAACGATCTAAGGTTACATACAGACTTCCGGCAAAGAAAAAGACATGTATTGACGAAACACACGCCCATACCAGCAAGTTCATTGATGAAGGACAACTGGTGCGGAACAGACAAGTGCAAAGCCGGTTATAGTAGAGCAGAAACAGCGCAGTGGAGGTACCCTGAAAAAATAGTTGGAAGTAGAAGAAATTCCGAATTTCTAGACGGTGCAGGGTCGGCGTAACATACAGTAAGTGCAATCCTAACTTAATCTTCTTGGGGCAGGACCTCCGCGAGCTGTTCCTCGAGTCCGGACTCATCTAGCTGTAAAGGCTTTCTCAAGCCAGGGCGCTCGAGCTTATAGCTTGCCCCCTCCATAGCGCTATGTATGTAGTCGGTGTCCTCGTAAACGTGGCCGTCCACGAGGAGGATCTGGCGCAACAGCAAGTGTGGCCCCACGCGTGAAGTTGGCTGAGCTGGCGCACTCGTCTCCTCGCCGGGAAGGTCGAAGAACGGGGTTGTGTCCCACACTGGCATCCCCTCCTTTATCAAGAGATCCCGACTGTCCATTTGTCAATATGAAGGCACCATACGCACAGCTTAAATCGGAACGCACCTACGGGTGACGGCTTCCCATGAGAGACGCATGTCTATGTCGTTGATGGCTCTCCTGTAACCTTGCTTGGCATAGTTCTAGACGAAGACTAGCATCCACCGTCTATTATTGTGGCCGATATTGATTTTATCAGTTGAAAAGAGTCACATTGGTGGTAAACTCACTCGGCTGAATTGTGTTTCGGCGTTGCCGGGTGGGTCGCCGCCAAGTCAGCAACTCTGAAGTACTCGGGCGAGAAAGTTCCCCCCGATAAATGTACTTCATTTCCCCCATTCGCCCAGATCTTATAGGGCTCTACGCGCTGCAGAAGCCGTTCAGCTTCAGTGTATGCTCGCTCGTTCTGAGCGTTCGTCAAGCGAGCCTGGGCATGACAATAAGTGTGTTTCTTGATGGCTAAGTCCCACTGAAACATTCGAGCGATATGCTCTTCTTCCGCAGGTGTAAAGCGAGAGCCCCTGGACTTGCGGCGAGGCATGCTGATGGCCAGCACTTGAACAACAAGGAGGGAAAGACAAGTACACAACGTACCTGGCGGTACTACTCAGTGGATGTCCGAGAACGGTTGCAGGCGTGATACACTGGCACGACCCGGGGGCGGTTGTGTAATCGCGGAAGAGCGACTCGGACTTCACTATGTCTTTCCTTTTCCTCCTGAGCTGTTGGCAGCGCACTACCTGAATCAAAATGTTTGTTGCGAGAGACGCTCATAAACTCAGTCGTACACCCAGGGCGAGAGAGAGACGCCACAATTCGTGGCTCGTGGCAATACCCGAACTCTATTTGCGAAACACGGCACACTGGCAATCGTAACGCTGCGGTCGGCCATTCCGATCTACGCACTCTTGCTTGCTCGACACTTGTTGCACTAGAAAGCCAGAAACGGCATAGCAGCTTGGATTGTCGACGGAGGCTCACGCTCGATAAGAAGCCCTGTCAATGGCATGAAGTCGTCACAGTACTAGTGCTGGGTGTGAAGGCTCTGTTTCGTTGTATAGATGCCATTACAGAGTATGTAAGATACTGTTACTGGCAACTTGGTCGTTTGGAATATTCCGCTAGCCTCAGGCTCAGTTGAGCCCCAAGAACTCTTATGGAGCATAGTAGACGGAAATCTAGGTCAACTTGGTTGTCGTTCGGAACCAGGGAAGGGTATTCCCTTAGCTTTTTCCTCTCGCTATAGGCAGGATTGCTCCCTTTTCAACCGGAAATCGAGGAGACCTTTATCTAGCCTACGCTGATATGTTCACGACCTTCAGACATACGCATTCACTGTCCCACTCATGTATATTTTGCATCGATACCGGGAGCGCATCAGAGTAGGACGAGTTTGAGTACGACACCCGAAATAGCGCATCTAGGCGAGCAAATGATCCCGAAGCCATGCAGTCAAACCAGGCCCCAACTGGATGAACGGTCCAAATGCTAAAGAAGTACACGGAAGTCAATGAAACACTAGGTGAAGGAACAGCATGCATTAGTGAAACGCCATGCAGACGTCCGCTACTAGAGAATTAGCTGACTGGTGCACATAGTATAGCATAAATACCACGAGACGAAGGTACTCTGAATGAGAGGCTAGGATGCCAACGGGATTCCGAACAATCAGAACGGTCCAGGGTCGCTGTCATACACACTGCGATATTTCCATCCTAACCTTCCGCAGGAAGAATCTCCACAAGCTGTTCCTCGAGCTCGAACTCCTCTAACTGTAAAGGCTTCTCTATGCCAGGGCGTTCGAGCTTATAGCTTGCCCCAGGCTCCATGGCGCTATAATGTAGTCGGCGACCTCATAAACGCTGTCGTCCATAAGGCAGACGCGGCGTAATATTTCCACCGTTACGTTGAAGTTGGCTGAGCAGGCTCACTACGGGAAGGTCGAAGAAGTGACTCGTCACGGTGTCCCACATGCCCTCCTTTATTAAGAGATTCCGGCTGCACATCTTGTCAGTACGAACGAGCTCGAGGGCACAGCACGCCGTGGCACACACATGCGGATGCGGCCTCCCACGCCAAATGCAAGCGTTCATCATCGATGGTTATGTGGCGAGCATCCGTGACACCGAGCATCCATCGTCTGTCATCGCTGTGAGCACCCTTTCAAACGCTCCAGAAATATTATATGAGAAGGGAAACTTACACGTCGGGACCTTGCGTCGGTGTCACCTGTTGGCAAGCCGCGAAATCAGCGACTGAAAAGCACTCCGGCGAGGAAGTTCCTCCTGTTAAAAGGATGTCGTTTCGCCGGTCAGCCCATATTTTATATGGCTCTGTATGCCTCAACAGTCGTTGAGTCTCAACGTGCGCTTGAGCATTCTGACGGCTGGTGAGCGTGCTTGTGCATGACAATAAGTATGCTTCTTGATGGCTGAGCCCACTGGAAAAATCTGAGCGATGTGTTCTTCCTGTGCGGGTGCACAGCAAGAGCCAGCTCGGGCAGAGTTGTGGAGAGCCATTCTCAGCGCTCGACACTTGTAGGATGCTACGGAGGGAAAGCGCAGTGAAACTACCAGAGGCGCCGTTCAAACATTTAAGAACAGTTACAGGCGTGATGCACGTAGTGTTCCTAACGGGACAAATCAGTCATCGAAGCCTTGAGTCAAAATCGTCGGGCCACGGCCAATGGTTTTGAGTCGGAGACGAGCGGAAAGAGCCCACGAGACGTGCTGCGGGTCTCTCCGCGTTGAATGGTACTGCAGAAATACTACTGCTGTGCTTTCTGCCTGGATTGTGGAACCAGTCTCGAGCTTTTGCTGCTGGTTGCTCTGGTAGTGTCACAATGCTCGTATTCTTCTGATATGCGGCATGATTATGTTCGATCCGTTCGTAAAATTCGCGCTCTTCGAGTCGTCGTTATATTGGACGAACCACTGGATTATCACTCGATGAATGCGGAGAGCGGGAGGTCGACTATGTGGTCGACTATGTGTGCACAAAGGCATCTGGGGTACTCATCGTATATGCGAGTGCGTCTATCCCGGTTCATCCAGACAGACACCCATCACGAGACGCGTATCCTCACCGACGGCGCAATGATTGTACAAACGGGTTTGCAACAGCGCGTAATCCTCCCCCACCCTTACCTGCATGATCCTGGGGTTAGTTCAGTTCCCGGGAACGACCTGGTATTGCATCGGTCGCGGTTGACACAGAACAATAATTAAGAATCTGCCATGTCCCCTGAAGCCTATAGCCCTGGCCCATCCCAACATCCCCTCTTCTGTCGATGCACGTTATCACGGGAACAAGCAATGAGACCTGTGTTCACATCCTTATTATTCGGCCACCCTTTACTCTGGTTTAAGATTGCCAGCCACTTCTATACGCCCTCCAGCAGTTCCCTCGCAACCCCGTTCCCTCCTAGCTTTGTGAGGAATGGAACTCGAACCTCTCTGCTCGGGCAAGCCACTCAGAGACCCAGAACTCGTCGTATACGCCTGTGTAAGGGTACACCAAGGGACGTGTCTCCCGCACTCCATCTGTTGGGAATTCCCTGTCCCGACCACGTTCCTGATTGTGGGTTTCGTCGCGCTCGGGAGGTATATTCTCGTCATTTTCGTCTTGATATACTCTGAAGTTGGGGTAGACATGGTCGGTTCTTTGATTGTTGAAATGCTCAGCGATCTAATAACCAATTACAGTCTCAATCAGTAAAGAGACAGTGAAGAGATAACGGGCATACTGCTGCAAGATCTTCCTCGGTATGTACGTCGCCACCGTGCTCCTCCCCGTGCATAGGTACCTCAAAGCTTGTGTCCCCGATTTCTCCATTCTGGCCCCCTTCCGGTACTCGGTTCTCCTTATCCTCGTCTTCTTCCATGTCCTCCCCATCTTCAATATTGGCACTAGCCGCAACTCTGGCTATGATATATGCAGAGAAGGCCATCACGATCTCATTCTCGACCGTTTGTCCAATTCGTCGTGCCACCTCCCTCACTACTTCGCGGTACTCAGGCGAGAGGTCTTCAATTTCGGGACGATCTTGGAGAGGTATCGAGGCGGCTGCACTTGATCTTTTTGACGGTGGTGGTGGGTGTGGATGAAGAGGACAAAGGCAACGTTTGGAGTCCGCGCTCGCTTAAGTGCTCTTCGGGAAATGCCGCCGAGGTGAGCCATTTCCCTCCATGTTGTCAACCTGCTTTGTCCGCTTACGGATGGGCCGGAATATCAAAGGCATTACGCTTTTCGTTGACATATGGGGACTACTGGATACTGGTACACGCTAATACGTGCACGGGTCATATCAGAATAACATTGAAAGGACCAGTCAAAGCAAGCAAACGTCGTGAACTCAGACAGCCACATTCTCATCTAGCGGGTTGATCCTGTCGTCAATCATCGCTAACCTTCATCTGCTCGATGCTTAGGGATACGCCACGGTTGTAGGTACTGGCTGGCCTAGCTGGATGCGACCGACACGTCGCCAACTATGCTGTCTCGAGCTCGCCTGAGCGGCAGAATCGTTTACCTTCTCCGCTTGATCCCCATGCGAGCACTCCTCTACGATTGGCACATCCCGGGAACGTCCGTGATTTTTGTGTCCAGGTTTGTCGAACATCCCTGTCTGAATGCGCCCGATAACCGTGGACCCGCGAAAACCAGCTGCGAAGTGGGGTCGTCCGCCGTTTCACTCCTGTTGTATATCACACGGATGTGGTCGTCCTGGGATGGTGTGGACACGAGTGTCGGTGCATGGGATGGCGAGCTGTCTCCAGGACAGACTGCCTCGACACTGGACGCCAGGCTGAAGGCGCTAGCCGACCGCATCCCGGACAACGGACTGGAATGTTCTCCATGCTCTGGCTATGGCGTGAGGAACGTGACACCTGCGATAGGATTATCGAAACATACCTCCGTCCCGGTCCAGCGCACTCCACGGCCACAGCGGCCAGCCCAAATCCTCGACGTCCATGGATAGTGGGGACATACAGCCGTAATCTGCAAGCCAGCTCGGCGGCCTCTGGTTTGCCCGAATCGCTGTCGGATGGTGGAGTTCTGTGCCACTACTCTCGCTCTCTAGGTTGGTTGTTGATTGGTGAGCTAGGAAACACAGCTAACAACCAAATTTCAGTACATTTCTGTCACAAACGGCCTCTATCAACACGTACGTCCTCTGTCTCGGTGCAGGACACATCGTCCATATCGCAGGATACGCGCGCGAATGTGATAGACGCGTCAGTGGCAGTGGCCAGACTCGCCGTGGACGCTTTGAATGACAGCACGTCATCGTTGGTGTCGTCGTGAGCGACGAAGGCGATTCCTGTACATGGTATGAATTTCTTAAACCATTCCTTGAAGGGCATGGTAGGGCTGAGGTTGAAGAAAGGGATGTGGCACGAGTTGTCGTGGTTGCGAATTTATCAACACGGTCACATGACAGTATGCGTGTTTGTGTCCTTGTTCCCTTCTTGGGCCACAATGCTGATTGTGTTGGTCTGCCTTCATCAAGTCTTCCTCACGTCAGTCTGCAGGATCTGGCTTACTCCCCCCTGCAATACTTCCGTGTATATTCCAACACTAGCATGTGGGGACCGTTCTTACTCTGAATTTCCAAGAACCTCCCAGACAAAGGCGCCGAATAATAACGGGAAATGCACCTTTGTTGTGAAGTACTGAATATGAACATCTGATTCTCCTTGGGGATGCTCGCATCTGCATACGCCAGGTAATAGGTGTCAGGAGCGATCCTCCACGCTTGGTTTTTGCTTGGTGTGGCATGGTGACTGGCCCGGAAAGTTGGACTTATACGTCCATCGTCCACTTTGTGTGTAAGTACCTCCTCTGTACTTTACTCTTTGTCTCTACTTTAATTCTCTTCGTATGGATAAGTTGAATCCATGTCGGTTGTCGTGATTCGCTCAGTTGCTGGTGTACCGAAGCGTGAATTGTTTGTGTCAACATCCGTGTCACATCCGTGATTCTGAGTTATTCCGCGCACCCGCTGGCTGATTGGCTAATTAGTATTAAAGTGCTGGTGCGATATCCTGGAGCCATGTTGCTGCTAGGAGATAACTGCTGCTTTGTGGGGCATCCCGTAGATTGGTTGGACCCCAAGCGAGGTTCTGCCCTCCAGTGGCACAGGCACTCAGTATGATCTTTTCCACTAAAGACGATTACCTCCGTTTTTTTAAGATGCTCTCAGACTCTGCTCCTTTTTTGATAGTGCGTGACCGTCCAAGGTCGCCAGCTCAAGTTAGTGAGGAGTCGGAGACATGCATAAATAACCCAGTCACTGGATGACCGCTACCTCATTCGTGCCTCCGGACAGAGCAACCCACCTACCTGTACCATTTGGGTCAGTGCTCCAATTATCGAAGAGCACTACCCGCGGTGTTTCATGGCTGTTTCGCCTCACTCGCCACAATGTCAGAATTTCTGGCGAGCGAGATACCCACTCGCGGAACGTTTCTCATGGAGGCCTCGAACATAACGTGAGTGTCTTGTTATTCTCCTTTTTCCCCAATTATATAACTGTGTGTTCCGGCCCAAGCCCAAGCTGTAGTGAGGGCGTCGTGTAATAACCCGAGTCGGTCAGCGTGGGCCAATGATTTGAGTCGGAGATGAGCGGAAAGGACTGACGCGTGTCTGCAAGGCTCTCCGGTTAGATTCGATGCTGCTGCCTGGTACCCTTCTTCCTCAACCGTTGACTGCTAGACTGTCGAGCATTTCTCGAACTTTATCTGCTGATGGCTGCGATACAATATCACAACGCACGCGCTCCTCAGGTCTCCGGGATTATTGCGTCCTGATTTATCGTCAATCCCCTGCTCTTCATTGGATTCGATGAACACTTGGCTTATCGCTTGATGAATGCCAGTATCGAAGTGGCAAGCTAGAGCTTGAATGTGGGTGTAATGAGTTGTCCAGGATAGTTACGGCCCTCATGAGTACGTCCAATCCGATCAGACAGACACCGGATCTCGTATTCGCACCGATAGCGGACGATGCTTCGTAGATGGCCCAGTAATTTCCCTCCATCCGCCAGCATCACCTAACCATCAATACAAGGCCTAAGATTGGGTACTGTACGGGTGTGCTTTAAAAGATGGTATTGGGAGCTCACTATGGCGTGACCTCTCTCGGCTTAACATGTGATGGTACTACGATGGCTGTTATATTGGGGGACCATCATGCGACGAGCTTCTCCTGGTTGCAAAGGAAAGAGCGAGCGCGAATGAATACTCTTTCCTACGCGAGTCGGATACATGTACGGGCCGACATTCCCTTCCATTTGATCCTCCTGCCCTGACGTGTCGCTCACATATACAGACCACCGACCACTGGCGCCTACGAGGTTTTCAAAACCCGCTACCTTGTCATGATCAGCTAAAAGATCGGGGTAACGTACCTTTGGCAGTCCCCGGCGACAACTCGTTCCGGGAGTCAGACTAGGAAGCTATCACGATTTAATGCATTCATTGGCGAGTCTCCCAGCACTGTCCATTCTCCTGCCTATTCTCCTGCCTCTGCGAACGACGCTGGACGCCGCCGATTCCGCCTGTTCCCGGGACCACTTCCCTCCCGGGATTGACTGGATGCGGTGTTCACTTGCCGAGGTTGGTTATCTAGGATGTCATTTCCGATCGTCTATTAACCAAAATTTAGCGTTCATTCTATATGGTTTGGCACACCAGGATCGCACTTCATTCCTTCTATCACTTGCATCTCTGGCCCTTGCTTATGCTGTCGGCTTCCGTGATGGTCACTTGGGCGAGTACCCTCGTATGCCGCTAGCGAAAGGTTACTCATAGCGGGACTAGGCTGTATGTTACCAAGTTTCTGGTGGGAGGCATGAAGAACGATGTCGTTCATGGTCAGGGCGGTGATTATAGGAGGCCATCGGCCCTTTTTTCGCTTAAATACCCTCCCAGGACATCCAGACTGATTGTAAGCCTTCTATCACCGCTATTTACTATTTCATGGTGACTTCATTCAGTATTCTAGGTGACAAACGCGACGCGCTGTCTCCATGACCGTCCTCGCTGCTCGCCTTAGCAACTCAACGATGATTGAAGTTGTGATGTATCTCCAATTTCAAAGTTTAAACGCTGTCGGTGATGATGCATCTCCACAAGAAAGCTAGCTTTATTCGTTTCGTAGTTAAAGGCCCAACATTTCTCGCTAAGCCATCTCCCTTTCCAGCACGTCACAGTGACTCCTTCCTTTGCCCGATGTTTCCACATGACCAAGTAATTCCTGGCTGTATCGATTAAGCCGGGATGACTCTACCAAGAGCAGACTCGGAGACAAACACGCACGCACGTAGATATTTCGACCTTTCAATCCCGACTCTCCCCCTTCCATTCACTCTCAGAATCTGGAGGGACGGAATTCAAATCTCTGGGCTCGGTCGATCATATCCGAGACCCAGGACTCGTAGTACACGCCTTCCAGAGGGAGGCCGAAAGGCCCTATGGCATCTACTTGCAGGACATCTGGACGCTGAAGTGGCACGTTTTCCTTGTCTGCGTCGGGATCATCCCACGTTCGGGCCTGGACTTGGTGGGTTGTTATATTTCTGAAATGTTCAGCGATCTAACAACACAGTCTTAGCCTCAAATCAAACGACACGCACTAGACAGAGGTGGCATACCATTGCGAGGTCTTCCTCAGTATGCACGTCGCCTCCGTGCTGCCCTGCAGGTACAGTAGCCACGTCCTCCGTGTCCTCAGTTTCTGCTCGGCGTGGTTCCGGTGCTTGATTTTCCTTGTCCTCATCATCTTCCATGACCTCCTCCTCATCGACATTGAGATTGGCGGCAGCTGTGGCTCGGGCAAGGATATACTGAGAGAGACCCGTGACGATCTCATTCTCGACAGCCTGTCCAAGTCGTCGTGCCACCTCCTTTACTACTTCCTGGTATTCAGGCGACAGGTCTTCAATTTTGGGACGATCTTGTGGAGGTATCGAGGCGGCTGCGCTTGACATCTTTGTGGTGGTGGTGGTGGTAGTGGGTGGTGGCTGAAAGGGACAAAGGCTGCGTTTGGACTCCGCGCTCGCTTAAATGGTCTTCGGGGAATGCCGCTTTGGTGAGTCTTTCCCCTCCATGCTATCGATGTTTTCTTTGTGATATACGCATCACTTTCACAGACTTTGGAATTGTATGTCTGACAAGGTATTGCATTTCCCGCAAATGTGGGAGAAATTCGTACTCAGCAATATAATTCAGGACGCCGTAGAATACGATCCAGACGACTAGTCCTAGTTCCCAATTGCGGTAAGCCAACGCCGTCCTAGTTCCATCGGCGGTTCCGCTCGGCTCCAGTCACCAACCACAAGTAGAGGGTGGCTCAGGCTGCGCCTTTCGTCCGGTCCACGCTTGGTGATGATTGCATGGGCTCATTACTCCCAATACGGTCACAAACAGACGATCAGCTGAGCCATTGGATACTTTCACGGCCATACCCTATGGCTCGAGCCACACTGTGCGACGGACTGCGCTCAGGTACTGATCGGGCCACAGGCTCGAACCAGCGTCATACTTGTGCTGGTTGACTTCGCGCCTCTCTACCCTCAACCGTCGTCCTGCGCTCATGACCTTCCAGCGACTTGGTCCAAGGCCTAGCTAGTGGCGTCATCCAAGAGCGCGACCGTTACAAGTGTGCGGTGCTAGATGGCGCTGCTCCAGAGCCATACAGTTATACCCTCTGTTGAGCCCTTTTGTCCGCACGGTTGGAGCGTTGTCTGTCTAGCGGAAATGATGCTAAATGATGCATTGAACACTACTGCTGATGAATACTACGTGCGTGGACATAACTCTGTACTGGTCTTTCTAGGCATTCATATGGTACGCTAGTTTCCCACCCAATCCTCTTCCCAAACGAGACGCAGAGCAGGACACAATAGAGCACGTTTCGTAACCGCGCAAGTACGTACGACAATCGGAAGAACTCTCGACAGGAGACTCTTCGTCGTCACTATCTGGCAGCAGCTTTTCCTTTACTACCAGATTCTGCGTTCTTATAGCCTTGCTTGGCTGGTGCTTGCTTTGGCAGAGCGATGAGCCCGTATCGCGCTCCTCTGACACGGCTAGTAGCTCCAGAAGGAGAACTAGCCCCTCCTGACGAACCAGGACCACTCACGCGTTCTATACGCTCGCCACCAATAAGGGAAGAAAGACCTTGTCCGCCGCAGCGAAATGCGGTGATAGCACTCGAGCTTTCTGTTTCGTCGAGCCGTAGCAAATTCAAATCCAACGGTGGCCACACGGGCCAAGGAAGGCTGCTACTCCCGGAACCTCCGTCTCCTACTCTAGGACTCCACTGTGAATTGCGTAAGTGATGTTCATCTGAGCACTTCACTGTCAGTTCGTGCGGCTCTAGTTTCTGACGCGCGATATAGGATGTGCTGGCCTTGGGGAGGGAAATGTTCCGCTCCCGAGGCTTCGCGGACCCGCTTTCAGCCGTTGGGGTCTCCATGGACCTGTACTCGTCGATCCATGCCGGCCTGCCTAGTGGTCGTGCATCCCACCGGATGGGCCTAGGCATATGAATAACCGACGTCCCCTCTCCTGGCCCCTCGGCGACAGTGCTCCCCAGCACTCCAAGATGAGTGTCAGATGTGGGTGGGGCAGACACATCGTTCGTCGATGCTGCTGCATCACGTACAGGCTGCGACCCAGTTTCATGTCTATGGACTTCGGAATTTGTCCAGCGATAGTAATGATCAAGCCACGCTGGCCTCCGAAATGGACGCGGCGGTTGCTCCAAAATACACCCCGGAACGCGTGCCTCGTTTGCACTTATCTAGTGTGAGTGGTATTCACTTATGGCTCGAATTCGGGCAACAGTATTATACACTTACCTCAATGATCCTCTCGTCCATCGCGTATTCCTCGCAATAGTCCTGCGACGTGATTGCATCCTCCCCTCTATCTGTTTCCGCCACACTATCGGCCTGTTGTTCTGTGCGCCGGTCACCTAAGCTTCGCAATTCGGAGGCCTTGATTTTCTTTTGCGTCACTGACTCCATGACGCGCGTCTGCAACCTTCTGAGGATGTAATACAGTCAGAGGTGGCGAGCGTCTGACGCTGTGACGCGAGAGACGCGTCTTGATTTCTGCGGCCATTGCCGACTTAATCAGTCACGTGAGACGCGTCTGATGCCTCTCGACGGTTCCGACTCGAATCGATTCCAAGCTTCAAGAAGAATCATATACAGTCCGCATCCGCATTCCTCGATCTCATCATGGATATCGCTGACTAACGCAATTCTTTGGCGAAATGCGCTCACAGACTCCGAACGACTTGCTTATTTCCCTGTGTCTTAGTCATCTCTGCCGAGACGCGTACCCCCCGGCGGGAGGTCAACTTGAGCTATAAAGAGTGGCGCACTGTCGTTAGTAGTCCTTAGAACGTGACGATCGATATGTCCTCACAGAAAGCACTTTTTCTGCAGGGACCGCAGGGCTCATTCGTAGTGGGCGATAAGCCAGTCCCCTCGCCTGGCGAGGGTGATTTGCTCATCAAGGTGGATGCAGCTGCTCTCAACCCTCTGGACTGGAAGATACAGAAGGGGTTTACTGGGTTTGTGGACGACTTCCCTGCCGTTCTCGGGGCGGATCTAGCGGGTACTGTGGTAGAGGTCGGCGAGGGAGTGACTCACTTCGCAAAGGGAGACAGGGTGTAAGTTATCTGCTCGTCATATTTTGGAACCTTTCTCAAGATTGCGCTCCGTCAGGATCACTCAAGGTGCATACACGCCAGACAGGGCTGGATATCAACAATATGCGCTCGCAGTGGGAGAATTCAGTGCTAAGGTGCGTTAGGTACAGGAAAGGTTCGAATAGACCTCTGAATTGCATTGCCTACCTAGCTCCCTCCTCAGATTTCCTTCGATGAAGGTGCTTCTATACCTAGTGCTGCCTTGGCTGCTGGATTTGGGCTCTACTTGGATGTCAATGAGTCGGGCCCTGGAGGCGCCGGTCTGACCCCTCCATGGGAGGCCGGAGGACCGGGGAAATACTCTGGAAAACCCATCCTGATCCTGGGAGGAGCGTCTTCTCTAGGACAGCTTGGTAAGTTACCACACCGTCAACAAGCGATAATTTAACTATGATTGACCTCATCCCTCGACTCTTGCAGCCATACAATTTGCGAAGTTATCGGGATTCTCCCCTATCATCGTCACCGCATCACCCCGCAACGAATCCCTGCTCAAGTCCCTCGGCGCCACGCATGTGATCGACAGGAGCCTGCAAACGGAGGCCCTCCGCTCGGCCTTGTCAGCGGCCACGACAGCCCCTATTGACCTCATATTTGATGCAGTGAGCCTGAGCGAGACACAGCAAGCCGCCTATGATCTGTTATCGCCGGGCGGGACCCTCGCACTTACGCTCCCGCCCACAATCAATGTCGATTCGCAAGCGCGCAAGAGAGTATTCTTCATTCGCGGTATCGCGCACATCCCTGAATTGAGGAAGGACGCTGCGAACTTCTTCGCGGCGCTCGAGGGCCTGCTGGCAAATGGGCACATCAAGGTAGGCTTCACCAGTTCCTCCTCTTTCGTGCGCCATCCTGACTGGTGTGTCGTGGTGCTGTCGTAGCCGAACCCCGTTCGGGTGCTTCCAGACGGCTTGAAGGGAGTAGCGGCAGGACTGAAAGAGCTGGAAGAAGGTCGGGTGAGCGGGCAGAAGTTGGTTGCGCGTCCTCACGAGACTCCGGTCTGAGGTCGAGAGAGAGAAAGAAATCTGCACCAGAAAACTTGTGGCAGGAGATCCAGGTTAGTTATTGTATTGTTCAAGTCGCCCTTTTTACAGCGCCATGTCCCTTGTGAGGCATCCCATCTCACAACCCCCGGCAATGGCCAGCGTCTAAACCACAGTTTAGGAACATGAATATAGAACGATATTAATGCCACAGCTTCACCGCATGCACAGAGGTCATGCTAACGTCGTGTGCAGCCCACCTAAAACCTATTCATCCTCTCGGCCCACCTTGCATTCCTCCAGCGATCCAGCTCACCGACATTTGACGCGGAGCAGCGATCGTATATTGACTATGGCATCTGCATTTCGTCCATTGTCGATGTGCATGCAGCACTAAGCCAAGTGGATGTAGTGCTCCTAATTTTTGACATACTGGGAGACCCAAGCGTCTTAGGAAATCGTCGCACCAGGGACCCGTTGGCAGTCACGGTTGCAATGACATGCGAGAGACGGAGCGATGCAGCTCTCAGCGTCTTGTATAGACTTCGTTAGAAGAGTGCTGCTGTCCCAGAATGACGAAGACATGCAGTCCATGCGCCATGTGCTCCAATCCTCTTCACGGCGGGCGATTTCCGCACGGCCCTCGCATGGCCACACCTCACAAACCTCGTCATTTGGGAGGGTCCGAGTCGCTTCGACTGTCTCGGATTCTTGGGGGATACCCGAATCCCGCCCGTTGGCATCCTCGAAGTATTTACGCGGAATTGTCCTCGGCTGGAGCACTGGAATGTACCCGTCGGGTACGACGTTCCCCTTCCGGACGCTTCATCCATACCGCCCAATCGGCATTTGGCAGATCGCCCCAGCGCGGTTACTCCTGCTTTATATATCAACTATTCCCCGTTGTCAGCCGCATCATTGAAGTGCGTAGAGCTGGAAAGTTACAGGGGATAGTACGACGGCTGCAGAGAGGCAGGAGGGTCCGAGCGCGCTCTAACTAGGGATCATCACCTTCTGAGATCGATGAAGACAGTGACGAGGAAGGTGGTCGGACGACGGACGAAGATCCCTCGGTTACTGATAGTGATGAGGAATCAATGGATACAGACGACTCGGAAGAAACAGATGATGAGGCAGACTCCGTATCTGACTGACTCTGACACAGAAAACTCGGCGGCTGCTGATGAGGAGATGTAAGGGAAATTTGAACGCAGCCTTCAGGTAGAGTCCGAGGGGCCGGAGCCGCCTCGACGAAGGGATGGCGTAGCTAGGACCGCGTGAAGTACGCACTGTGACGACTATCGTATACTTTGTTCATTTCTGAAGAGGGGCGCTCGAATGGAAATGCCCGTGCGGCTCTTCACTAGACTTCATCCCATACGTGAGGGTAAGAATGCTTGGCGGGTACAGGACACCCAGCAGCGCACAATCTGCATACCTCTGACGTTCCAGAGGGCTGGCGGTGAGGCAAACCCCGCACGAGGCCTGGCCTCGCAATTCTCCGTGCCGTATCCATCCCTGCATTGCGCCGAGGGACCGCAATAGACGCGTGATGACCGAGGGGATGTGCCGCAGTGAATGGCAGCTGACAGCCATAGCCATTCCCGAGACGTAGCAGGTGAAGCACTACGACACCCGGGGTCGGCATGAGCTGCATCCACGTCCTCGGCGTGCCACACAAGCCGCGCCCACGCTCACGCATCGTCCTTCGCCATCAATTCGTTCAGCGCCCGCGCAACACGGCCCACCGCCTCGCGCACTGTATCCTTGTCTGCGTCCTTTACCCTCCGCAGTACGCGCCCCTCGAACTTATCGGGGTGGAAGCGGAGGAGGGTCTCGCGGACGATCTCCTTGCGCGTCTTCAGCGTGTCGCCCGACGCCTCCTTCCCATCTGCGTCTGGCTGCAGCGTAGAAAACAGGAACGACGATATGCAGTCCCGGCTGATGTCATCCAGCGACAGTGCGTGTTTGCGCGGCACGGAGACTGGCCAGGGTATATCAGCGAAAGCAAGCTCAGGCGCGGCTTCGTTAGCCTTGCTGCTGAGGAGGGTCTTCCATCCTGCTTCATAGCGCTCCCTCGCTTCTTCCGTGCGCTTCCGGTCGCGCGCGACCCTGGTCTGCTTGGTCTCCTCAATGTACTGTAGGTGTAGTCGCCGTGTCTCGTCGCGGATGGCCTGCTCACGAGCTTTGCGGGCCCGTTCTTCGGTTTTGAGACGTTCTTGTTCGGCATAATAATCCGGATTTTTCTTCCTGCAAATCAGAAACGCAGTAACAAGGATTGATCAATCACCGCAGAACAAAGCCAATGAGTGTGAATACTCACCTCCACATCCCAATTCTGACCCACTCCGCGTACTCCTCGTCCTCCATCTGGCTCGGGTCGAGGCCCGCAAGGTCAGCCGTGTCAGCCAGACCCGCGTGCGGACCCCTCCATCTCTTCGGAACGTGGGCGTGCGCGTTCATCTCCGCCTCGAGCGCGTCCAGGCGGCTCGTCCCGCTCGCGGCGAACGTGCTGTCTTCGTCCATGGCATCCCACATCTTCTCGCGCCAGCGCTGTTCCTCCAGCTCTGCCTGGAGAGTCTCATAGTCGGGCTTGCTATGACTCCCTGGCGGGGGTGGCCCGTACGCATCGCCGCTGTTCCATGGATCCCGTGCAGGATCACGTCGACGGCGCTTGTTTGTAGATCGATCGTCCGAGGGTGAGCTTGACCGTGAACGGTGTCGTTCGGCTCGTTTGGCTGCTCTCCGTGCGGCTTTACGGGCCTTGCGGAGTTCGCGTTCTTGTCGTTCTGCTGAGGTTTCTTTCAGATGCAGTTTTCCCGAGCCCATTGTAGTCACGATTTGGTATAGATTCAATTAAGGCGCGAGATTACTGTGGATTATTGTATAGTCATTCGAGTGTAAAGTCGCGAGAGTGGCTGGCACTGGCTGCCGATGGTGGCAAGATGCAAGAACGAGTGGTGGGAAGTCTGACGGAAGCACTTCTGATAGGCGCCCATGGAAATGCCACAACTTTGATGGTGGCTTGAAGTTCGCTCTAAGTACACTTGCCGGTGCTCTCGATATTCAAGTCCAAGCAACGACTATTGAACATTAGCGAAATGGCTGTCCCTTCTGCTCCCAATCTGGATTCCTTCATTAAATCTTCTAAGACCCCTCCTCAAACCCTTGCCACCTCGCAGGAAGTTCGCGACCGGAAATCTATCTTCGTAGCCAGCGCGTACAAGGCCTCTTCACCCTCCGATGCGCGCTCTATAATGAAGCACGTAAAGAACGTTGTGCACGCAGCCAGACCCGCATCGCACGAGATTGCCGCGTGGCGCTGTATGACGCTGAAGGAGGGTAAGTTGGGCCTTGACGGCCCCGATGATTTCGAGGTGCAGGGTGGCTGGGAGGACGACGGCGAGAAATACGGAGGGCAGCGCGTGCTGAAGGTCATGCAACAGGAAGGAGTGTTAGATGTTATCGTGATTGTTAGTAGATGGTACGCTGTGTATGTTTTGTCGGCTACGAGCTGTCACTACAACGTTATTTGTTAGGTACGGTGGGATCATGCTTGGCCCTGCCAGATTCGAGCATATTGAGACGTGCGCTCGTGAAGTATGTCGCGCTTTCAAGTTGAAGCAGGATATGGACGAATGCATCACTGTCCTCACTGCCTTGGATGACGAGCTCTCTAAGCTTCGGGAGGAGCTCGCTCGGATATCCTCGGCGGCTCCCGACAATGCAGGTGTGGATACTGCGCCTAAGAGTGCAGATGCGGACCACCCCGACCGCCCATCTGAGCACCCGCCTTCTCAGAACGGCCAAGAGGACCCTATACCGTCCTCCGCGGTTACGCAGACCCTCACTCCCTCTAAGGCCCACTTACCTGAACAGTCCACTTTTAAACCCGAAGAGCGCAAAGAGACCAAGAAACCCGACTACACCGCCCTCTCCGATTCCCTCGACATTGCCAAAGCACGGCGGCTCATCACCGCGCGCGAGAATGCGATCAAGAGCCTCAGGAGCATACTCGCTAAGAAGCAAATCACAAAATGAATGGACACGGATGCTCTCAAGACTGTCAAGCTCAAAACATTCGCATGCCATGGCGCCCACGCGTGATTCTCTACGACCTTCTTGGGAACGCGCACTACATGGCTATGGTTCATTGCACTATACAATCGTTAACACACGCACGCGAGCTCGAACGAGCCTCATCAGACAAGACACGATGAATCACTTCCACAAGTTTGTCGCGACGGCGTAAATCAGCCAGCGAATTCACGAGGCAGCATTGCAGTGCATGGAGAGAACAAAGACACGTAACGTAACGCGTGACTCAGCCCAAAGATCCGCGCCTGCTGCTTCCCATGCCACATTCTTTCCTTCAACTCGAACATATCAATGCGCTTCAAGAGCTGGATCGAGAAACTCGTCCCGTGCACAGGAATCGCTTTCATTGACGCTCACGACGACTTGCGCTCGTTCGAAGCATCTACAACTAGCATAGCTAGTAGTGGCACCGACGCGTCCATCACGTTCGCGTGCGCGTGCTGTGGCGCCGACGACGTATCCATCGCCGACGCAGAGAACGTGCGTTTTAATCATTAGTGGGATCGGTGGCGGAGGTGTTTACTGAGCCTTGGTTGTTAGCCGTGCTTCTCAGGCGAACGCATAACAACCGACCTCGAGCGCGAGGCCAGTACCAACATGTGCCAGTTGCACCAACCGAGAGCAATACGGGCAAACGGGAGGGCGGCCGTGCCGAGTCGAGCCTGGGGTATGTCGATCACCTTGTGGGAGGTCCCGGGATCTGACTTCCCCCGCGGTGCATCCAGAGCACGATGGGTCTTCCACTTCGCCATCGAGCCTCGGGTCGGTCAGCAGCCCGAGCTTGGCGTCCAGCGTTCGGGGGGTCTGTCCCGGAGAGTTATTTCCGTCGCAAGCCCCGATGCCTGCGCCCGCTCCACCCCGTAGAGCGCAAAGCATGGCAACTGGAGGTTCTGAACACCATATCACGATTGACATTGGCGATAGCACGGCTCCTTTCAGCTTCGGACCTTCGGAAACGTAGAGTTCGGAGAGTCACGATCACCGGTCACCGAGCGTAGATGAGGACCAGCGTATCGACGGGATCAACTGTGGGAACCTCGAGATAGCGTAGTCGGACGTAAAGTGAACGTGAGCTGGCGACTGAGGTCGGGATGGAACGGCTGTAGGTGGAATATGCCGCCCTCAGTTCGCCAATCATTACTGTAGATTGCCGCTTGGATTTACTATAGCGGTGGCAATGGCCGTATCGCTGTGTAACAATTTCCCTAATAATGCCGGAAGCGGAATATGCAGCAAAGCACCTAGTATTCCAGCCCTGCAAGCCATAAGCCCAAAGCGTTCATCGATAGCATGGAGGACAACGGCTTACTGAAGCGGCATCACCCGAGAGGCATTTAAGCGAGCGTACAATTCAATCGCATCCATTGTCGTCCTCAATTGCCACCACTGTCCCAAAGATGTCAAGCACGTTGGCCTCCCTACCCTTGCCCATTCGTATCTGTATCGAAGTCCTCTCGCCTGAGTGCCGGGAGCTGGTTAAGAGGGTGGCCGACCGGCTCGGACAGAGAGTAGAAAACGAGGTCATGACAGGCTTCGCTAGCTACGTGCTGGCTAGAGTGACAGCTGCCGCCGAGCACGATGATGACGATGAGTGTCTGGAAGAAGATGAGGACAAGGAAAATCAACCACCGGAAGAGTATCAAGAACAACCCGATGAGATGGAGGGTGTGACTGGTGGCGAAGAGCACAGAGGCGATGTACATACTGCAGCAGATCTTGAGGAGGTACGCCGTCTGTTGAATGCATTTTAGACATTGAGGCTGAAACTTGGTCATTAGATCGCTGCACATTTCGCAAGCACAACAACCAACCGGGGTGAGGCTCGTCTCCGCGATCATCCCGACGCAAATAAGGAGAATGTGCAACTCCCGCGCCCTGAGGAGCAGCACCGGGGCGAGGCATTGCAGATAGGCACGACAGGAATCATCTACCCCTCCACAGGCGTGTACAACTTCTGGGCACCGGAGCTGATAAACAGCGGCCAAATCTTGGACTTCCCTCCCTACGAAATGTGAGCGGAAGGAAACAGGAAGAGATCGACTAGAGACCTGCAGATATGTGATTGCCTTTTCGTCGTGGTTAAGGGTGTTCAAACTAAGTGATACGACAAGGAATGACTTGTCGATGGTGGAGTGTCGAGGCGATGAACTGGTTGCAACGCCCTATCCTTATCACCACTTTAGCTCTATATTCAGTTGTAAATATGCCGACCTATGAATCCCTATAGCAATAAGCGACTGAGGAGGTTCTTGGTTTGTTTAGAGATACCTACATTGCCATACATCACGACCAGAATGAACGAAATGCAATCCTCCCTACAAAGTTGAGGACGCAGATTATGTAAGCGAGTCGCGCAGCGGCTCGCAAAGTGGACGCGGAGCCATTGCAGCGGATGCGCCCAGACGGTTGCCCGACTAACATATTACCTTATTTTTGAATATTGCCAGTGTGCCGCTAGTGCAGCGGTTAGTGTGATGCGTTATTTCAGATGCAATGATGTGAGCTCGAGGTTCAATCCCAGATGTGAACAATATTTTTCACTTGTGATGATTCTAGTTGTCTTCACTCCGTAACGCAACTTGGAAGTTTTCTTTTGTTCTCTGTCTCATCATGCAGTCATTGCAAGGCGCCAATATTGATGACATTGTGGGCACTTTGAGTCCGGACAAGGGCCAATCTATACACAGAGCCTTCACTTGGTATTATACTTTGGGGTTCAGTTTCAAAAAATTCAAACTACATGTGTACTGATATACAAAACCATTCAACTTCTCATGATCATGGGAGGTGGTGTTACCATTGTACGAATGAATTGCAGAGAGTACACAACCTCCTCACCGCCTTAGGATTTCCATTCCGAAGCGAGTCGCCCCGACTTCAGACGAAGTCCCTCGCGACGCTGTCCGGGG